TTTATTTCGGCACGTTAAATCTCTCACTCGGTGCAGTGAGAGGAGACCATTGCTGTGTTTCAAACCCATATGACAGATTGTAATTCACATGAATGTTTTTAATCATCAACAAATCTGTGATCCGGCATCCTGTTTAGAAAAGGTGCCCTGCTGAGTTTACATCAGCCTTGTATTAAACCAGCCATTCATGATCATTGTCAAAGCAAAGTACAGGATGCAATGCACAACCTAACAAAACAATCTGCAGGTTTTTCTTTTCCTGGTGCCAACAGATTCCTGGTGTAGTTGTGATAAGTAGCAGGAGCAATCACGTAGAAAAAGGCTGGACCAACTTTCAACTCTGAAATGTTACTCAAAAATAAATGATGCTCTTTATAATGAGAGTCATGCATTTACATAACACCTTTTAGTCAAGCACCTCAAAGCTCTGTACAATGAGGCCAGGACCACATATTATTCCCTGCTAGCTTGCATCATTTATCTGGGAGACTCTGCGCTTTATTTTTTCTGCGGCCATCAGCTGTTGGTTTATACTATGACAAAGTTTTTTTTTCCTTAAAATGTATATTCCTGCAGTACTGTTCTGGAGAAGTGGTTGGAAATTGGATTTCCCCCCTGGATGGATGGATGGAATGTATTTATTTGCATATTTATTTTCTTAAGCCTATTTTTGTTAACTTGAAATATTTCAGCCTTTTTTCTGCTATTTTTTTAATAATATTCAACTTTTACCACAGATTGCCATTGCTGTGCGTCACCTGCATTTGCGAGATGTAAAGCACACTCCAATGAAATATGGACAGATGCAGTGAATTACAATAGCTCTTTGCCATCCTGATCTTAGCATGGGATTTGTCAGCAATATACACCATTGCAGTTTCAGTGCTTCAACTCAACTGCTATGACTGACTAACTTTACAAATATACCAGTATATTTTACCTAAAGAGTGATTGCACAGAACATGAATAATCTATGTTCCATTATTACAAGATCAGATTGCTGTTTACTGTGCTTAATATATCAATGACTAATGTGCTGCTTGATGAAAGATGAAAGACTTTAATATGTATATAGCTTTAAGCAGTATGTATTTATATACGCTTCCGTATGTGCGTGTGTATGTGTGCGTGTAATTTGGCGTGTTGCTCCTTTCTATAGCGCAAATCAAATAACAAGGTAGAAGCTGATAACAAAGTATAACGTTTCAGAAGCCGGAATTGTTGCTTTTTAGCGTAACATCATGGCTCCGTTCCTGTGTATCCGGCGCAATTTAATGGAGCAAAAACTCAACATGTTGTGTTATCTTAATTAATCATCTTGAGTCAACTAGACCTGCTGCTCTCACAGGATCACTACTGCATATACTCACCTCCATCAAATCCAGAAATCGCAAAAGTCTAATAGCAGTTGCCTAATATTCAACTGTTGGTTAGTTCCTGTTTCCAGGGCATTTGCAGATGCTGTAGATAATCTCTAATGTTTTTCCTCAATCTGCTCTGGAGATGGATGAAATAAATACTTTAAACTAATTAATGTAAGACCAGCTGTTACCAAGACTTGGCAACCATTAGTGAAAATTGATGGGACGAGAGGGACTGCCTGACTTGTCTTTTATTTGTGTATAATTTAGACCACTGTGTAAACAGACATAAATGCTGCATGAGACTGGATTGCACATATTGTGTAGGACGGTGTGCAATTAAGATTTCGCTTGGAGACTTTTCAATTCTCAATAACATTTAAAGGAGAAACAGAGTGAATGCAGAGGCAAATGTGTTATTGCACATTTAGGAAAATCAACTCCGTCTTAATTTTAAACAAGCACAATCGTTCTGTGTACGTGACCTGGGAGAATTTATCATTCTTCATGGGGTATTTTTTAAGAAAACGTATTAAATGGCGTGTCTTTCCGAGTTCTTCTTTCTGCCACAAGGTCTATCAATTTGTACCTGACAAAATGGCCTTCAAAAATGCTGTTTATTTAGGGCTTAAGTGGCACCACGGTGTGACAGCTTAAAGATAATGTCACCTCGCAGAGCTTTCCCGTAAGTGTGCGTAGAGTTATGATAGCCTGTGTAGCAGATGGCTGCTGCGGTCCTCACAGGAATGATGGATGGTCTATGATGTCATCACGAATTTGACAAGCGCCAATAGGTTCACAAAGGAACCGGACCTTTGAGGTTGGGCACCGGCTCCTTTGAATTCTAAATCTTGAACTGCGGTGACATCTGTTAAATGGTGAATGTGCAATTTGTATTCTTTATGATTTTGTTTAACCCTTCACCGAGCCCAGGAAGAGGCATAATGGAATTTAGTCTCTGTGGACAGGGGGATGTTATTAAAGAGTGTAGCCCGGCACTCTGGGTCAGACAGCAGCCAGCATTCAGCTCTCGCACACAATGCTTAGAGATTATAAGAGCCTGTTCCACCTCTTAGCCATTAAGAATGCAGGCAAATTCAAGGTCCAATAGAGTGGAAAATATATCATAATATCGATGATGAACTGGAAGGCATTACCTTAAAAGGGTCAATTTAACTGAAGATTTCACTTAGGGTAACCTAAGCCATTTTTCTATGGATTGTTTCACATGGATTTCATAGTGTTATAGTCATGGTGCTGGATTATTGTATCCAAAGTTCATCAAAAATATATATATTATATGTATATACACTAGTACATACACAGATACACCCACACACATACATACATACATACATACATACATACATACATACATAGGTATATGTTACATACATACATAGGTTTATGTTACATTGTAGGGACCTGACGTCCCCGCAATATGATAAAAACCTGTCATTCTGACATTGTGGGGACCATTTTTTCAGTCCTCATAAGGATAACCTGAAGTACAAATCTATACAAAATCTCTATACACGTATATGTTTGGTTACTTATGGTTAAAGTTAGGGTTGGGTAGGGGTTAGGATTATCATAGTTAGGATTAGGGTTCCCACAGAAACGAATGGCGAGTCCCCACAATGATAGGAATATATATGTTTGTGTTTGTGTTTGTGTATTTTATAACCAGTATGTCATGGAGCATTATTTATCATTTTTGCAATGTTTATTTGTTCTAACAATCCCTTACCACCAGAAGCATATATTATTGCAGTTGTAGCAACAGACAGCTGGCATAGAGATTGACAGCGGATTTTTTGTGCAGAATTTACCAGAAAATCCTCACGAGCTCAGTAGTCACTGACTGCAGTGCTCTCCTTCGCTCTAGCAGTAATGTATTGCAGTTATCCTGTGCTTTGCTGTCAAAGAAAATGTAACGGCAGAAGCTGCTTAAGAGGACCGTCTGCTGTAAAGGAGTGTAGTATCCGGGCGGTATTTCCATATCACTTCAAAGACGTGTGCGTTAATCATGTTACGGCTGGGCTCTAAGCCATGTCTGCCCCGGAGATTGAGCTGTGCTTTGAAACTTGATGCACTTGAGATAAAATGATAGAAATGTAAAGCTGTTTATTCAGCACCACCAGGTGGCATGTTCTGTGTGTCACTGTAAGGGAAAAATACAACACAGCATTTTAACGTGCCGTTCATAGTATATTATTTCATATTATTAAGTATACTCTGAAAAAAAATGAAAATAATTTAAAACTAATTTATATCCTGTCCAGGGTGTACCCCAGCCTTGTGCAATGATCTGCTTTGGATAGTCTCCAGACCTCTGTATGATCCTGAATAGAATGGTTTGAACATGGATGGATGGAAAAATTGATTCATGTAGTTTTTTGTTTTGTTTTTTTTTTAAAAAGAAGAAAAATACATAGTTGATCTGCCTGCTTATGCCTGAATTTTCTGATTGACAAAAAATGTTATTTGTGTTATTATTACGCAAACAGTGATAGGAGTCATCGCAAATGTTAAAAATAATTTGTGCTGATCTCTTAGCTTACGCGAGAGATGCCGAGTATGGTTTTCGTGAGCCAGCGTTGTCTTTAGATTAAAATATGATTGCCCAAAACAGTTTGGCCACAGTCCCAGCGGAGCCGTTGCAATATTGAAACGAGGTAAACGAGGACTCATCGCCCTGTGCCATATGGCCTTTGTTGAGGAGCCAGGACCCTCACTAGTGTCAGCCTGCCACAGGCGTCTGGATGAAGAAGAGAAAACAAACACGGCATATGGATTGGGTGGGGTGAGCGAGAGCTACACGCATCTATTTACTGTGGGCAACCTTTTAGGCGGGGGGAAGATGTACAGGACATACTAATGCAAAATTGCAAGAAGCGAGGTTTTATTAGTTGATGTGTTGATGTGATTGGATGATTCCAGCCGTGAATGAAAGCCTTACTGTACCATAGCATCAACGATCTAGATTCTTGCAGAACTTGGAAGAGATGAGCTGTTGATCATTTTTGGCGTACTTTGCACGTACGAAATCAACAAAATAATATACAGCATAAATACAGATTTCACCTTCGCAAAGCCTTGGTTTTATGGTGTTTAAGTTGAAATAACATTTAAAGCATTTTACACATATATTGAATGTATGGAAAAACACATATTTTGCACTTGCGTTGCTATCGTTGCTCAGCAGAGACTTTTATAAGTTGTTAATTTAGGTTGACTCATTTATTCAAGTACATGGTGCTTCATTGTAGAAATTCAGTTTGCACACCTTGCTTAAATGTCGTATAGCAGGACATCTCCATACGCTGGCACATTTTTTTGTTAATAGACTAGGTCACACTTTACTTTGGTGGGTACAAATAACTTACTCAGTTACTACTCAAGTACAACTAATATAGTTCCTGCATGAAATACATGAACTGCATGATTAATTACTGATGAACCAATATAGGATCAGTACATAACTCACATTTAGTTACTGGTTAATTGATGCATTAAATATTGCTACATTTTTTTGTGCCCCCTCAAGTAGAGTGTTACCAAAGACTCTTTATGACTGTGCTGTTTGATATTGTCATTGTTCACTTTCTCATTGCTGCTCTTTGTATCTTTGTCCAGATGAGACTCTGCTCTGCACTCCTACAGCGAGAGACGGCTACGAGAGGCTGCCCCTGGGTGGACAGACCCTCCCTCCTGGGTTTCCTTCACCATTTCTCTTCCCTGATGGTCTATCGTCAATAGAGACCCTACTGACAAACATACAGGTGTGCTTCCATGTCAGTCCCTCCCGCCTTTCCTCTGTAGCCACACTTCCATAAGAGGTGTGTTCGTGTGTTAAGCCCATCAAAACACAGAGAAAAAAAAAACAGATGTCACTCCTGAATGATGCATCTGTGGTTCCCAGCATAATGGCCTGTTTGCTTTTTATGGAATCATGGCTACAATGTTTAACAATTTCCATTGAACTGGGGAGGGAGAACGGTTCTTTTCTGTGTGTTGACAAACATAAAGTAGACAAGGAGTATTATTCAATTACTGTCCATTATGAAGTGCTTCAGCAAAACATTAGTGGCAACAAGCAAAGAACAAAGATGGTGTGATCCATAATGGAAGTCAATGACCAGGCAATGACAGATGGAGAGATGGAACGACAGGTGAAACAGCAAATGCAACAGAAAAAGAAAATGTCAGCAAAAGACAAATTCTAGTCAACAACAAAGGCATTAACCTGCAGTAACGCCTTGAATATCTCTGGCCACTTTTATTTATGATACGAACATCACAATGCTGTGGTCTCTCACTGAGCTTCACTGGGGACGCCGCACAGCCTTGTGGGATATGTACTCCCCCATGTAAGTAAGTCATCTGTTTTAATGATTGCTGGGTGCATTTTTATGGAACGTCCTAGCACAAGTCAACAAAAGCAAACCAAGCAGAAAATTGAGATAAGGCAACTTCAGTTGAAATGGGGTCAAGAAAATGAACAATTAATAAGATATAGCCTAATTCATTTGGTCTGATTGCATGTGTGTTAGGACTAATTGTTTCGATTTGGTCACAGAATGTAGCATTTAATCATGTAAAACATATTTCTCTTTGTAGTGCTTTTATAACAATTTATTCACTGTAATAAATCTTTAATAAACAATTATGATGGGTCATAGTTTTTATTCTCTGTGACCAAAGAAGTTATTCTCATAATTACCTGTCTCTTTGTAAATAGTTTCACTGCAGCAATATACTATTATTTATTTAATATTTAAAATAAGTTTTATTTCAAAGAAAATGTTTTGCTTGTAAGTTCTTCAAATTCATATGTCCATGTCATCTTTCATCTACTGTTTATAAATATATTACAAGTGCTCCATGCAGCCACTGTGAGATGATGAATTAACATTCCCTGCCATTCTCTTCCATTGTGCCCTACCCTCATTAAACTGTGCCTGTTGTCTTTTTCATTACGCGCAAATGATATGGTGAACAGTAATAGCTTGCTATGAGGCCTTGTTTTGTTTATCTGTAGTACTCCCTGTCCTGATTAAAAACGTCTGCAGGGCCTCCTGAAGGTTGCCATCGACAACGCCCGTGCACAAGAGAAGCAGGTGCAGCTGGAGAAGACCGAGCTGAAGATGGAGCTCTTCCGTGAGCGGGAACTGAGGGAGACACTGGAGAAGCAGTTGGCGATGGAACAGAAAAACAGAGGTACCCGTCTATGCAGGAAGGCTGCCACGTGCTGGACTCCAGACTCACCAGATTTCATCAGAGCATGAGTGCGCAGAATGCTGAAGTCCAGCTCTGCAGGAGAAAACAACTTCCTAATGCATGTATCAGAAAAATAACATTTAAAAAGAAAGGAAACATAAATTAGTCTATAGCTGGTATATCTCTCTAGAACATATTATACAGGGCAATAAAAAATCAGCACAATAATCAGATACATAATAAATGTACTTATTACAAATTAAACTATTTGAATTACAAATTTAAACGGCCTGTTTTTATATAATGCCATAGCTTGCAGTTATGAATTTAGCTTTATTCACTGCTTTTGAAAGAACAGTTATTCAGGCTCACAGTTATAATTATAAGTACATATTAAGATATCAGTAGAAATGATTTATTTAACTTTTATAAATAAGAATTGCAAAATGTAACTTCATATCCCCATATCCCATGCATCTGAAGTATATAATTAATCAAATAGCATTAATAAGCCAATTTCTCAAAAGTGTCTTTATAATTGGGAATATTTTCACTAAGCGCCTCTAGTAATTTTCTACGTAATATATAGATATGGAAAAAGAAATATCTTTTGCGCAGTGGCATGCTAGCCTGGGTTAATCTGGGTTATAGTGCATTCCTTTTTCCTTTGTAAAGGGCGATAAACTGGTTGACCTCAGCCTTTGTGGGTCAACAGGGACCCATTTGGAAATGCAAGAGGATCTTTGTCTAGATTAAAAAACTGGGCATGCATGATTTGTAAAGGCCTTTATACGATTATCCAACTTTATAAGGGGAAGCTAGTTTATTTTACAGATGCCCATGGTAAATTTTTAATGGTAGTTGCCACTGTATTATTTTTATATTGAAGCTAGTGTAAAGATCTGATCACTTAAAATGCCATGGAACAAACTGATTGAAAAAAGGATTGTTACGTTACGTAAGCTTTGACGATAAGAGTCTAATGCTGTTTAAATGACATTTTGTCCGACATACTGCTTTCTTTTTTTTCCCCCCGCTCCTTAGCAATTATCCAGAAGAGGTTAAAGAAGGAGAAGAAAGCAAAAAGGAAACTGCAGGAGGCTCTAGAGTATGAATCGAAACGGCGGGAGCAGGCTGAGCAAACACTGAAGCAGACGTCGTCCACAGAAAGTCTCCGAACGCTTAATGGTTTGTCTTCAGTCTGTTTCAATTCACATGAAAGGTTTCATTTATAATGCTCCAATGATCATCTCTACACATTTTTGTAGAGGACTTTCGCTTGTATAATTCTTGTTTTTTTTTTTAAATTGCAGCGCGTTGTAAAGAGTTTAGTTGGTTTGAAAACCAAGCATATTAGTATGTATTGATGCCCAGTAAGCAAAAGTAAATTCTGACAGTTATCAGGCGTTAAACATAAAGACAGTGGAAAAACAAGTTGTCATGACAGTTAAGCATTCAACAAAATTTCCTTTATGAATACCAAACTATTGCAATATTTAAATGTTGTATCATTGTAAATATATTTAATTTTTGTTTGTATTGTGTTTATCTTGCATAACGTAAAGTATTTCTGACAAGTTCAGAACAAGGATTCATCTAGATATCTATACATCACTTGGCAGTATTACATGCTCTGTTGGTAATTTTAATGCCTTTTTCTTGATTGTTGGTGTTTAATTGTCACTATTCTTTCATATTCCTAGAGTCATTGACCCAGGAGATTGAGACTGACCGCAGTAGTGGCAGAACAGATTCTGAAAGAACAATACAAGGTACAATGAATAAGATGGTAATACAAATACTCCTAGCTAAATTATATGGAGTTTAGTATAACTTAACCTGGTGCAAAAATCTAACCCTTTAGGGCATCATTCCTATGTTAAGAACTGTATGTTAAATAAAGAGTAGTTTTAATACATCAGTATACCATTTCACAGTGATTTTATAAAATAAATTCAGAATCTGATTAGTTTTTGTAAGCAGTATTGTATACTGTGACCCATGGTCGATGTTAAATCCTCTGTGTTACATAAACTGTGCCAAATATCCCTGAGAAATCCACATAGATTCTATTCTAAAGTATTCTGAGTATCATCTAATCAATTAGCCTCCAAAACTTTCAGCTGTATTAAAAAAATATCGTGCAGGACAAAGAAGTGGTCATTTTAAATATGCAAAACTTGTATGACTTTTTTGTGTATCTGAGTGCAGCATCCTTTGCCTTTGATCATCAGTTCCTCAAGTGCATTTCCTGAAGGATTGGTTACTAGTGGTGTTTCCTTAGCAGTCAGGTCGAAATGAAGAAATTACAGCAGTTGCAAGGATATGTAACACGCCATTGAACATTACACTAAGACATACTATTTTCCATTCTATGACTTTGAATGAATTGTTATTCATGATTTCAACTCATCATTTATATTAAGCACCAGTAGGAAGACTCACACTCCGGGAAATTCCATAACTATGACCAGAAGGGCTTTTCAGGGAGCATGACTTCTATTCCTAGTATATTTTGTTTGTGAACCTACAGAAATACTGCTGTTCCAAAAGATAAAAACCATTCGTCCATCGATTTCTCATAGCTACTTACCCACTGCAGTCACGGCTAGGCTAGAGCCTTTGGGAATTCAGGATACAGTCCACTGTACTCAGCATATACATTTCTTGGTGCAGGTACCAGTTTATCCAGGGCATTCTGAAACATCTCGTTTGCTTACTGTATGCTGTAAAGAATCTATTTTATTTTTATCTGATCGTGAACAAATGGTGATTATAGCGTCTTCAGCAACAAGATAATCTGAAAATGGGATTTTTTTGGCTCCTTTGAACCTTCTGGCTTTACAATTTAATCTATTAGTGTAAATATCTTGTTTGTTGGTGTTATTATTTAAATTTGTGCTATACAGCTATTCTTCTGGTGCTGCAATGTGATAAAAAGCCATTTAGATTTTTAATTCAGTCTGAATATGGAATTTATATATATGGAAATAATATAATTAACTGTAATGTGATTACGTACTGCTTTGCCACCAGCATAAAATGACATTTGAACTGTAGGAATTACATTTGTCATTAGTGGTCTATTAAACAGAATTAAATGGGACATTATCTTGTGCAGGGTGCACCCCTGTCTTGTGATGTGGCACAGGGCAGTGGTACACCCCTACTCTATACATTTGGAAGATGGGGAGAGGGGATGAATGGAACATCCGTAAAATAAACAGCAGGATTGAGTGAACAAAAGTCTTGTTTATGAGGGACAGGGGATTTTGCTTTCAAAGTGTCAGAATGGAAGGAAAATGTGTGAAAACAAATTTAGCAGATAAATCTCATGAGACAAGGTATCTTCTCACACCTTTTAAACTAGATGAACTCCTTAAATTGAAACCAAACCTTCATTAAAAGAAAAAAAAAACTATGACCTGAACAATAGAATGTTGTTTGTTGTTTCTAAATCTACCAATTGATAATAAATCAAACAAATTTTCTATGTGTTTTAGTTTGAGGCTGAGAAATTTGAGGTTAATACAATTAGTGGTACGCTTATTTTGTAATCCATTAAATATATGTTGTCTTTGCACAATTACTGGCAATTTTCTTCACCTTGAAGCCTCTTTTCTTCCAATCACTAAGATTGAAAAGTAACATGTTAGTTATATTGCAAGTAATTAAGTTGAATAATGCTAGAGAATAGTGCTCATGCCGCTAAATCTTTCTTAAGCACTTTACCACAGCTATGTTATAGAAGGTGCAATATAAAATAAATTGAACTGAATAGAATTATAGAAGAGTTATAATCCCATGTTTGCTTTTCTTCTCCTCCTTTGAATATTATTCATTAATGAAGTCTCACATATCACTGGCTTTCTGGGAACATAGGAAATGTAACCAGAGATAAATGAGAAGATTTAATACATAATAAAATACTGCAGGAAACTAATAGTAACTGAAGGCGATTGAAGGTGCTGTTACAGTACTTGTGTTACATAGTGGCACCGTTACAAACCACAGACAACAACCAGTTGGATTCTGCTAATGAATTAAACCAAAATGTATGGAGACTAGTCTATCACCACATGAGAGATCATATGTCACAGATTTTATACTTCATAGTTCGGTGATATCTAATGCTCATCTGCTCACTTGTGAAGCTTGTGTGTGTGTGTGTGTGTGTGTGTGTGTGTGTGTGTGTGCGTGTTAGGTTCATATTACATTGTCCCCCACATTATTTGATGTTGTGGGGACCATTTTTGTGTGTATGGATTAGGTTTATATTACATTGTGGGGACCAAATGTCACCCACAAATATCTGTGAATGCAAGGGGTTAAGGTCATCATGTTTTGATTAGTTTTCCCCATAATGATGAATGGAGAGTCCCCACAATGATATAATTACACACCTCTGTGTGTGTGTGTGTGTGTGTGTGTGTGTGTGTGTGTATATATATATATATATATATATATATATATATTTATTTATATATATATATATATATATATATATATATTTATATATATATACACAATGTTTGTGTTGTGTTACACTTTTTAATATAAACAATATTAAACAAGTCTGTGTTTGTTAATGGCATTTCTAAGGTTTGAAATCGGTCCAAAAATGAGCACCATGTTTCTGGGATTGCTGTAATTCTTGGAGATACAAAACTGTGCTGAAATATCCTGGTATCTCTTGGACTTGACAGTACATATGTTTCCGAAGTTTACACAACCCTGTTAAAGGAGATAAGTTCTTTGTGGCAAGATTAAGCATCAAAACAGTTAACGTAAAATTAAAATTAAATGAATGAATCTCAGTGAAGCAAAAAAGCAGTAATTAATGGTTCCCTTAATTGTCTTCATAAAATATTTGCATGGGCATAATTTGCATAATTTACATGTATTAATTAATCTTTCAAAAGAATTTTATGCTGAGAGAAGCCAAAAATTCCCTTTGTTTTATTTAGCATCTAATGAAATATTTATTTTCTTTAATGAACTTTTCATCTTGATTTAAATTTAAAAATGCTAAAGTTTTAACATATTTTAATGAGAGGTTTCTTTTGTAAAAACCATGTAACAAACAGACATGTTTTAGATCTAGTAAATCAATGTCATAGATTTCACACATCAAATAGTTCTTCACTTTATCATGTAAGTATAGCGCTGTAACTGTGACATTACTTGGAATTGTCACATGTCATCATGCCATCCATGCAAAGGATACATCTGAATATTTACTGAAGCATTTTTTGTACATGTGTCAAAGTACAATCTACGTAGCTTAAAATTTATATAAAAAGTGTAGATCAAACCAAAGTTTGGTAGTATAAGGACTGATATGCTTCTATTGTGACACAGTGTTTATGGGAAAGACCTACTGTTCAGCTTGAATCAGTGAGGCTTTCATTGCAGCTGAAAACAGTGCAGTGGTTTACGCACAATTACACAACTGAAAGTTGCTCAGTTACTCCAGTATGTATTTAACAGTCAGTCCAAGCTGTACCATGTTTTGGGTAATTACACAAGTGAAATCTGTGCTGCAATGTTTTGTGTATAATTACACAGGTAAAGGCAATGCAGTTATCCTGGTTTATATTTAACAGTCAACCAAAGCTTCATTTAGTTTCATTCTGTAATATTCTATGGCACTGCCTGAATAAGAATGTCAGAGAGAGATCCCATGGAGACTTAGGCCTGCTTGAATTAATTACACCCACTATTTATCTTTTCCTTCTATGGCATTTATTCTCTTCAAAGAGCACACACCACAATAAAACAGTACCTACTTGAAGTTCAGAGGACTGCTAAGTAAAATAAACAGCAAATTGCGAACAATGGAGTAATTCTTCTCAAATTCCAAAAATATCAGTACGAAGAATGAAATAAACTAGCTAAATAAAACATTAAGAAATTTTTCAGCGCTCAATATATGTCTAATGCCGGTCTTTAGTTGTTCTTGCAAACCGTAATTTATGAAACCAGCTGTGAGCCAGACGCACGTTTACAGCCTCAGCATATATTTATTTTAGTTTATTTTTCAAGTTTTATCAACAGGACAATGTTCCCAGCTTTTTATCGTCTGCATTTCCTGTTTAAATTCAATTGTTTATATAGAGCAGTAGCACTTAGAGGCCACACTGCTGCATTCTTTCACAGAGGAAATGTAAGGGTAGTAAATGTCAAGCGAATTTTAAGCCTAGGGGGGCGGGGAGGGGGGGTTGAAAATGGAACAAGGTCATTATATTATAGGTGTCTTTGAAGAGAAGAACTGCACTCTTTCCGTGCAGGAAATTAAATTTATTAAGTGTTTTCCCATCATGATTGCATGGCTAAACACCTGTAAAATAGGATATAGGTTAAACGTTTTAGTCACATGTGTCAAGATGTGTCATGTATGCACTGTTGTCATTAGTGTAAGATGATATGCACGTGTATAGTATCCGTATGCCTCAGCATTCTTTTACAGCCTAAAAACGTCTTTTTCCGTTTAGTTTATAAGGCCTTTTCAGCTGACATCAGGGTGACTGGGTAGTGCTGTTGTCTCACATCTCAGGAATTGGAAGGTTTTTTGTGTGTAGTTCACATATCGTACACTAAGTCATACACTTCGGTTTATTGGTGTTATTAAATCACCTGTAGTGTCTGTTTGTATGTATTCTGTGATGGACTGGTATCTGTCCAGAGTGTCCCCTGTCCAGGGACCTTGTCCAATTTAAATTGGAAGATGAATATTGCATCCATATTCATATATTTTCTGCTTAATCTTTTGATCTTAAAACCGACTGTTCCAAAAATTTTGTTTTGACAGTTATATGCCAGTTTTATGACTACTTTGTTCTTAGCAAAATCTGTATAACCGTGCAAATACACAAAAAAATGTACTGCGGCTGTTTCCCATGCATGCTAACCCTTTTCTTCGCTTTTCGCTGTCTTACAGATGGAAGACTTTTTCTGAAAACCACAGTGATGTACTGATGGCACGGCGATGGAAGCCGTAGGAAGGTGTCCAACAGCTCGTACCAGGCAGCAGCTGTGAAAGCGGCCTACACAGCTGCTAGCAGTGTCTGTGCATGACTGTAAGCTAAAGGAAAACTGTGTAAATGTAGAAATAGAACCTCTTTTCCAACAGATACAAGCATCACATAGTTGCAAGACCAGAACTGCCGTAAACTGTATGTCCTGTGACATATTCTTCAAATTGCAAGGATAAAATCCCATTGAGCACAGAAGAATCAAGCATCAGGAGTGGTAATATCAAACTGACCCACAGCACTGAAGATTTTATACTGTATTTAAACCAGCAAGAAAGCTTTGAAACGGGAATCTAGTTCAGGTTTTTCTCTTTTTTTTTTTTTTTGAATATTCATAGGAAACTTTAGTTCATTTCAATTCCAAAATATTTTTCAAAAATCAGTAGCTGGGAGAAGGCATCGGAAATGTGAATTTAATGATATACAGATGAAGACAGGTCTAGTAGCTGATTTTGTTTGTCGTTTGAAGTTTCTAAACCGGGATAAATTCATATTGTGTTTTCATTTCAACATTTTTGTACAGATCAAGTTGGCTCGCTCAAAAAATTTTACGAAGTAAGATGGTATGTGTATATACTGTTAAGAAGATGCTATTGTGTATGCAGTAGGAATATTAGAAAACCAATACAAACATTTATAATGAATTTCTAGTATTGTTTATTTTATCCTTTGTTAAGCCACTTTTCTTTCAGATAGCTGCCATTTTAGTAAAAACGCATGCAGGCATGTAAATGTTTGTCTTGAAGTTATGCTATTTAATAAATTCTATTTTTTGCTTAAAATATACTTAGGGAGTGACTCAATCAATGTTAGTTTCTCTAACAAGTGTAAGTCTTTTTGATTATATGTATTGCTTTGATTTAATGGACTTGGTAAACTCCCTCCTAGCCATTTTGTATTTATTTAATTTTTTATTATATGAATTTGTAAGCGTAATTTTCATCAAGTTACAAGTTTTCCCCCTTTACATTCGAAACTAATGGAGTTTTTTTTTGTCGATGATGGAATACACAGCTATGGAAATCTAATTTCCACATGAAAATTACTTTTGATTGATTGAATAATTCAATCAGAGCTCAAAGTGGTTTGGCCTTAAATGCAAACACCATTACTTAATTACCGGAAGAAGAAAAAAAATTAAATGTTGGCTGTTTGTTTAGCTAAGACAAAGAAAAAGTCTCAATTAAGGCCAAACACTCCAATGAGCTGAGATAACCTATCTGTCTTCATTTCTAATTTTTATGTGTGAATTATTATGTAAGTCTCTCTTTTTGGAATAAAAGCATCCCATATTTACATTCTGTACTGATAACTGGAATTATGGCAAGTGATGCTATTCCATCCCATGTGTAATGAGTCAACTATGTGTTTTCTTGAATACATTGAAGACATCGGTTGAAATGCGGAATGAATAGAACTGCAACTCAGACTTTGGCGATCACTATGGTATTCATTGTCCCGATGCTGAATTTGAGCACAAGGCTAAATTTGAATGCATGTTGTAATGATTTTACCTCTTTCCTTGAAACTTTAAGGCTAGGTGAGGGAGACCTGTGTTGTGATGGAGCACAGACTGGTAGTAAATAAACACAATGGCCAGGTTTTACAGCACCCTATATAAGTAACAGTGAGTCACTTCTGGCAACAGCAACTGAGTTCACACTATTTCAGCAATGACTTAAATCTCCTACTGTCACTGCTGTTTAAAGCACATTGAGGGGACATTATAATTCTATAACAGCATATATATATATATATATGTGTGTGTGTGTTTGTATATGTATATATATATGTGTGTATATATATCTATATATGTGTATATATATATATATATATATGCTGTTATAGAACATATATATATATATATATATACACACAGAAAAACTGCTAAATGAAAACTGCTCTTTCCATTTTTAACCAATACTACATATATATCGCTGCAGTATGTGTATGATTTTCTTAACAGCTTTTAATTTATCCTATCTGTATTACTGATAAAGTCTGTTTCATATCACTACTGCTTATATTGCTGTAAAGTTCAGCACACTGTACTTTCCTTGACCTGCAAGGTACACAGTAAAATCTGCAGCATTTAAACAAACTCCAAAGAGTTCGCTCAAATTGCCCTGATTGGCCTTGAGTACATTCTCTATTCTCACGGTTTATTTAACTATGTAAAAGAGGAAAATTCAGTTAGGATGCCGCAGTCTGGGAATCGCTGATTTAGAACAGAATGTACAGCTCCATGCCTTTACCTCAGTTATAACAAACAATCTTATTTTTGAACTCATTTGAAGTTCATTTTGCATATCAGAATTATTTACTTACTTTTTCTGTACCACCAGCTGTATATTATGCAACACGGACAGGACAGAAATTGCCTTACGACTGTCTCAACTTCTGCTTTTTCCTGGTATAGTTCTACACTGACGTGTTGCATTGTCAAATTTGTGTAACATAGTTCGGCACAAGGTTTTGCTAAAAGAAAGCAAAAATATTAGCCAATTTCATGTCTAGTTTGTGAAAAGGCAACACAACATGTTTTTCAAAGTTTTACTCCTCAAAGATTAAATGAGCTTTCAGAAGTAATTAGAACTTCACCCAAAAAGCAGAATGTAGCCACGCTGAATGCTTTCATTATACGTTGATTTCTTGATATCTTAATCCACTGTAGCCCATATTTCACATTATCTGCATCAATACTATGTGTTCTCTATAGTATCCTTTGTCCTGTAGACATAAGTCTGACATTTTTAAACACTATGGGCAGCTATTTTTATGAGTATAATTTAAATTATTATTTCATCACAGTTTGTGGTCTTTGAAGTTTAAAAATATCCATGGTTTAAATTCAGCTGTCAATCTAATGTTAACAAGGGGTTTATAGTTATAATTTCTGAAATATTTTGTAAGTATGATATATATATATATATATATATATATATATATATATATATATATATATATATATATATATATATACTGTATTACATGCAGGTATACACTGTAGCAGATTCTATGCGTATGTTGGTTCTTTTTGTATCACAGAACAGGGAAATGTCTGAGTACTTACAATGATGAGAAACATTTATTTAATTAATTTGTTTCTTTCTGTTTTTATTTAGGTTGTCCTTTCCACTTGTGTTTTTTTTTCTTGGTATGAGTGTATGCTTGTGTGTGCCTGCATGTATGTGTGTTTTATATACAGTACGTTAGTGTTATCGTAAAATAAAATATGTGTAAATGAGGAACAGACTAAAGTTTTTAACTGTAAATAAATCATTTTATGTTTAGCTAAATGTGTATCATTCAAATAGAATGAAAACATGCCACAATGCTGGTTTTCTTGGGACACCTAAGCATTACTCTTCAAGAAAGTATTTTAATCATTTAATAAGATATGTGGTCTAGGGCGTGATAACAGTCTGCAGTCCAAGTTGGTCCTCGAGGTAGACTAGCTTGGAAAATGTTATTTGGTTATTTTGCACATTTTTTGGATCCTGGTATCCGTCCTTCCAGTTGAAGTATAATGGTACTGGGAAGAAAAAGAATGATAAAGGACTTTAATATAAGTAAATGTTTGGGAGCTGATTCCTTTTCTTTTATTTTAGGTACTGAACCAGCATGTGAGATCCATTACAGAGCTGAATTCTGGTGCTGGAGCAAAGTTATGTATGTTTAGTACTACGATTTTAGTGTGTGCTAGACTATATAGATACATCCAATGACTTATTTAATATCTAACTGCATCCTGTTTTTAAACCTTGTAAATATTACTGTAATCCAGTCGAGAACGGCATGCCAATGTTCTTCATGAAGTGTGGAGAGAAGGAAACCTTTATCAGCAGAACTCTATATTAAATATTTATTGTATTTACAGTATAATGCTGGGCAGATGATATAGACAGAGTAGTTTGATCATATTGGTTTGAATTCAGTGGTTGTCCTCTATAATACTTCCACTTTCGTAGGAGAACTTGATTATATTGCAACCTAACAATATGTAAGAGTTACTTAAAGCAACAGAATTATTTAAGAATACTAAATCACTAGCTCGTACTTGTAAATTACTATAGAATATTTGTCTTTATGATTTCCTGACATGGAATGTCATTTGAGAGGAATTTTGGGGTTTCCGCTCTTGTATGATTATTCACACAGTGGCTGATTTAACTTATTTGTACAATGTCATCTTCCAAGGATTGTAGGAAACAATTATGTAGTAGAAATATCTTGCATTTCCCATGCAAGCTTAAACAATCTGGAAGCTGGAAACCAGAGATATGCAAACAGGAAATCTAATTAAATGAATGTTTAATCTTACTTGCCCTGTAAAGTAAATTAATCAGTTTTCGTAGTTTGATATTCAAGTCATTTTAGTCCTCTTGGAGTGTATCTTATGTGCTTACTTTCCATATCCTCATGTGGAGATATTCACTATTGCAAATACTATATACCATTATGGATACTATCCAGTAATATAATAATATGTGTACTGCAAAGAGATTTTTTAATTAAGATTTTTTTTATTGTTATTACTTTCTGTGTTGGGTACTTGGCCAGTTTTACATGTGAGGAATCATTTTTGAGTAGATCTGTTTAAATGAATTTAATTCATGGAATATCCATTTTGAAAAGCTGTACAACAAGTTTTATTTTATAAGTTAACACAAACTTAAGAAAACAATAGTAAAATGTTAACAATGCCTCTTTAATATCCCTATATGTGTATTTGTTTCCTTTCAAGCAGCTACAATTTTCTGTCATGAAACACTCCAAGACAGAAAATCAATTCGAGATCACACTGTGTGCTTTGTTGTTTAATAAGCATTTTTTCCCCTGTTGCCTTTTTCACCACATAAACAAACAGTCATCATCTCTTTGATTTATCCGTGTGTTTCCCAGACAGTGGTAAGATAATATAAGCATAATTTTTTGTGAGGATGTAGTATCATTTTAGAGATGATCAGCGTATATTTTGTCATCTTTCCAAAACACACATATTCATGCTAAAAGTTTATCGCTGAACACTTATGTGATTTCAATGCAACTAAATCCAAAATGTCTCGCAACCTCCTTGTCAAATGTTCATTAATGATGGAAAAACATAAACCAGAGCTCTGGCTTTGAGTAAGGCCACATCATCTCAGTACAGTATTCAGGTGCAAAATTACATCCATGTGAGCTGGCAGATTTGAAGAAGCAGTGCCCCCCCCACCCCCGTTCCCAACATAAATATTATGTGCTGAAATATTATTTGTATATACTGTAATTATGACATGTTATTGAGCAAACATACTGTAGCAAACAGTAAACAATTGAAGTTTGATTTAATTTTTCTAAATTAACGTTAATGCCACATTAGGAATGTTGAAACCTGCCTGAATGATTTTCTCGGTGTATCATTTATTATGGTCTGGATTTTTTTATTTTTTTGGTCTGGGAAGAACACTTTGAAATAATGTCTTCACTAATTGCAAGGTATTCTGATATACAAGGTAACTTTCTGTGTGTCAAAATGAAACTGCATTCTAAAGGAAACATTCTTTGTTGCCAACTAATGTAAATGAAGCTTTGAACTTGGAATTGAGGTTTCGATCGAATCAATTACAGATTTGAAACAGGTGCCTCGCTTGAAACTTGTGAAAAGAAAAGTGGAATTGACATTGAAAGACAAATTCCTCTTGTAAGCAATCCTGAAATGTGTTGACACAGCATAGCATTCTATAGTCCCATTTTGCATGCTTCTTAAGGCATAGTCATCACAGACGTGGTAGATGAATAATTGACGGATCACTGCATAATTCAACAAAGCATTGTGAAAATTCAAGGTCTAGCACATTTCAAGCTTTTATTCTTTATTGAAAATGAGGTTAAAGTTTCAATCAACCTTGAAAAAATGCATTTAAATAGTCAATGAAGTATGGTGTATCAAACTTCACAGTGGCAAGCATTTTTTTTCCTTTTTTTGAGCAGTATCGCGACCACATACACATACTATGTATTACATGAGCTACTGTAACATACAAATTATGGATATGCTTACCTCTTCAACGTATCAACATTTTAACTTTTCTCGGTTACTGTAACGTATAACATCAGATACTTTAATTACCTAATTGAGAACTGATGAAGCTGAACTCAACGTTTTTTGCATCACAAAGGCAACAGTAGCCAGATGTTATAAAAAAATGAAGTTTAAAAATAAATAGAAATGGAGAAAGAGGCCTAATAGGCAGCATCGTAGTCCCCTATTCTATTGATTAACTCCGCCCTTTGACATTTGCATTTACTTC